GTTTCATCCAGGTCGCCAGTAGCAAACAATGGAGCGCGCTCTGCTGGACAAACTAAGTAATTACACCATTTCAAGCGTTTTATCTGCATTATATGTTCTGTAAAAAAAAATGTTCATATCGGCAGCATATCGGCGGCATTTCGCCGATACCAATATATCGGCGACAGGCTCATATCGTCATATCATATCGGCAAAACGATATATCGGTCGGGCTCTAGTGATTAGTAGGGATGTGCGCGACGACTAATTTGACTGTCGTTTAAACTAAAGTTTTGTATCCGACTAGTCGACTAGTCTAAAAGCAAGAAACCACCCAAAAAGAAAAAAAACTCTGTGCGTGCGTGTAGCATATATAATAGCCTATATTTGAAATACTTAATCTATGAATCACACTGTCGAATCCCTCAATGAATTCCGCTTGCCACACACTTGCCTCGCATTATCATCATTTCATTTTAGGCGGTCGTTAAAAAAAACAAAACAAGAAGAGCATACACTCAACATGCGTTATTTGTTCAGTGACATTATCAACGTGGTCTGGTGAAAGACAGGACTTGAGGCGATTAACAATAAAATTCCTGCATTTTAAAAAACGCGCTCGGCAGGAACTGAAGTCGCAGGCTTTTTCTGTCGTGTAATCGACTATTGTTTTCAGTGTCGACTAGTAGGATCTGTACCGTTTAGTCGACTAGTCGACTAGACCCGCACATCCCTAGTGATTAGTGGTGTTGAATAGCATATGTAGATTTTTATTTACATACACAACAGTTCAAAAGTTTGGGGTCCATAAGATTTTTTGATTAATTTAATGCATCCTTGCTGAATAAAAGTATATTCTTTAAGCAATCGTGCATAATTTTTACTTTTATATTTTTAACAGCTAAAGTAGGGGTAGATTACAATGGTCGGACTAGTTGGTTGTGGACCATCTATTAGAGATCTAGATTCTATATGTGTCTATTTTTATATTATAGCAGCTGTGCTTCAACACATTGCGCTAGTTATTTGCATGGTACAAACTTTTATGCAAGTTTTGTGTTTTACATCCATTTATATTTATGTAAATGCATTTTATCCAAAGTGACACACTGCGTTTAAGGTATACACTTTATCAGTTCATGCATTCCCTTGAAATCATGACCTTGGCATTGCTAGCATCATGTTTTACTGTTTGAGCTGCATGAATGCTATTTAAGCACTGCCGCTACAGCCGTACACATTCAGACAGACGTCTTTTGCCATTGCGCTGTGTCTCAGGCTGTTTTGTGTCTCAGAGCCCCACCACAACATTGCGTTTTAAAAAATAGTCACATTTTTTAAAAGAGTGTCTGGTCTCCTGCATACTGTCACATTCAGTTGCACGCTGCACATTCAGGATCAGGTGAACCCCAAACCAGACTAATAGCCCTTTAGGGCAAGTCTTTCAGTCAACCCACAAACTAATAAATACTAAAAATTAGGGATGCACCGATATGAAAATTTTGGTTACTAGCCAATGGCGATTCAATTGCCAAGGTGTTCGTAGAGGGCTGCCTTTTCTATCTCTTTATCGCTCTTTCTCTGGATCTCCAGCAGGCAGGGACAGGCTTCCAGCGTAAGCTGCATGTGAGGGCAAAACAGGATTCAGTGTGGCCTGAAGCGAGTCGAGGGTGTCTGAGGAATCTGGATCCTCCAGCAGGGTGAGGCAGTGTTGTGAAGGCTACCATCTACAGATCTGGCCAAGAATAGAGTCTTGGACTGGACGCTGTGCAGATTCAGGTTACACTACTCTAACAACAAGGGAAAAAACTGAAGTATAAGCCAAAACTGTTGTGATGCACAAAACCAGAGTACACACATCCCAATAGTTGAAGTCTTCATTTGTTACAGTTTCTGTCACCACCGAGCTCTACCAGAGAAGCACCAGTGGGTCACACCACAAAGCCACAGGCTCAAACTCCCTCTCCCTCCGGGGTGACTCAGCCTGATCTCTGGCTGGGAGCCCTGCTTTCACTGAGCTATCTGTTCTTTGGAAACAACAACCAATACAACAGCGCTGCAGGCTTGGACCGCAGTTGCTCGGCCCTGTAACGCCACACAATTATGCAAACTTCAAATTTGGAAAGGAAATCTCAAAGGGACTCTATTTATGTCTATTTATGTCTATAAATGTAAATGTTGACTATAAGGTTACATAGTTCTTCGTTGTGTCTTCTAGTTTTTAATTAAATTTTGTTAGGCAACCCAATTTAGTAAATATAGTAAATTTAGTCAAGCAACCCAAATGTGTCAAGGCAATGGCATATAGCTCATGAATAAACTCTCCTATGAGGTTTACCAGCTTAGTAATTCTGTCGCATCTTGTTCCATTTCAGAGAGCTACCTGTGATTATAAGGCTGAAGACTGCAGATAGGTGAGATTTTGTGGCCTTTACAGTAAAGGTGATCTGTCTTTATCGTCTGTGTAAACTATGAATAAAATAACTATGAAGTGAAATTGTTGATCTACACAAATATGAGTTTTTCAATGGCAATACAGTCAGAGGTTGCTTTACAAATAATCATTATCCATCCGTTTGACTGACTTGGTGGTAAATTCCCATTATGCTCTAGTTATTTTACATCAAATCTTGCATTGCTTAATGTGATATTGATATCACAAAAAGATTTTTCAAGAGCTCTTTTAGTCTTTCCAACCACTCTTACTTTTTATTCTAATCTTATAATGTGAGAAAGACAACAGACGCTGCGATCTGGTGACCTGATTTAAAAACCAACATCCCATGAATTATTTCACTTTCTCACACACGTGTGTGTGTCTCTCTGTCCATGAAGAGGACACTTTCTTCCCTTTTTGTCACTTCTAAATTCTAATCTCTATTTGCATCTTTTACTGTTGGAATTCTAATAGGGATGTGTAATACAACAGTTTATTATTTTTACTTTACCAGACTGACAAAATCATTTGGAAATTTTCATCTGTGTTTTCAAGATTTGCTAAATAATGTAAAATGTTTGGTTTAAGTATATGCTGGAGACAATATGTAGGGATCTTGATGATACCGACTGACCAATATAATGACAATATACCATCTCACCATGTTCTAAAGTTTGCAGTTGGATTTTTAAAAATGTTTTTAAATGGTTTCTTTTTTAATGCACGTAATTTAATCATGTGATGGCAGATTCTAATTTTCAGCAGTCATTGCTCCAGTCGACAGTGTCACATGGTCAATCAGAAATCATTCTAATATGCTGATTTGGTGCTCAAGAAACATTTCTTATTATTATCAATGTTGAAAACAGTTGCTTATTTTTTTTTTTTTGGAAACAGTGATACATTCTTTCAGAATCCTTTAATGAATAGAAATGTCAAAAGAACAACCTTTATTTAAAATATTACTTTTTGTAACATTATAAATAGGTCACTTTGGCTCAAATGCAAATGTATTATTAGCGAATGCAATTTAAGAACTGACCTTTATCTGCTATTCTAACCCTATGCCAGAAAGTCTTTCAATAAGAACACATTTTACAGAAACAAAAAGCATAATTTACAACACCTCTATAAACGAGTTCTGGATTTGCACGTTTGAATACATCAATAAACAGGATGACAGAACCAGTGCCTATGCCGTATTTCTCTGTACTGAAGTGCTGAGACTGAAGATCTGCTGAGAGTAAGGGCTTGTAGGCAACCCTCATGTAGCTCGAAGGGGCAAGACCTGTGAGCAGTTGGCCAGCATCGTACTGTGACATAACAAGATTAACCAGTCATTGCAAAACTGAGAGGAAAAAACAACGTCAGACAACAACGTCCATCCCATATCCACCTATGCACACACACGCACACTCATGAGGAATAACAGACCTGAACGTCCTGCGCCAAATATACCCCACCATCCACAATATAAGCACAGAATTCATAACACCGTTTAGCCCAGATACAGCAGCTCCAGCGCTGCCCAGATTAAGGTCGGGTTATATAACCTCATCACAACCCAAACGACAACCCCAGGCAAGGCAGATGTGGGTTTATGAAAGCACAGGAGAGTATGAAGTTATAATAAATCAACAGGAGTGTCGGAATTTGATAATATAAAGAGATACGAGTAACTGCACAATGGATGGAGATGCTGTTTATAATCTATGTAGGAAACACAAGAGTTGATTACTAAACAGAAGGGGCTTTGCTGCTGTCTTCAACTTTACTGTGTTCTTCAAAGGTGTTTTAGCTTCACTTTAAGACTATGCGGACTCGTTCTGCTAAAATCACGACAGTAAAACAGCCCACTTCACCACAAGCCGATGTTTCCGAGTCGAGGATGCTTTTAAATGCACTCACCGTGGTATGGTGATACACTTGGTGTTGACATTCTGAGTTGTGATGGCTTTCTCGAGCTCGTCCAGTTGTCCCGTCTTCTTCAGCTTCTTCACCAGACTCTTGACGGCTTTTTCGCACCATTTCTCCTCCTGTCCGTTCTGCTCTCCCTTCTTCCAGCCCAGCAACCTCTTCACGATCGGCGGAGTGAACGGTAAAATTGACATGTTGAATTCAGTTAGGCGTTCCTCTATTGCGCAGTCTCTCACGCAACTCGAAGAGAAATTCGGGATACTTTTTTATCTTCAGCGTAATCCGAAGGCGGTAAATCAAAATAAACGGCTCAATAGTAAAATTGAGAAAAGTGAGAGGCACTTGAGACGTGACCGAGACACGGTCTCAAGTTCAGCGTTCAGCTCTCTCTCTCTCTCTCGCTCTCTCTCTCTCTCTCTCTCGCTCTCTCGATCTCGTTATCTCTGGCCCTCCTACAGACTTCCTCTTCCTTTCCTATTCGTGTCGC